TGCAGCTCTTCTTTGAATCTTGTAGCTGTGTGAATTGTATGATGTGCAGTCTATGTAAAAGTAGCAAATAATGTTTAAAATACTATCTACAGGCCCATCAGAATGTATTCCAGCAGCTGGTTGATTTGATAGGGATTACGTCCATAATGGAGGTAAGCCGTGCCTCTCCTCTTATCCTTAATTTGATTCTAGGAATCACTTTTACGCTAATGTTCATGTGATTTATGTAGGTTCTAATTCGGTTGGTCGGTGCGGATGATCATGTGTACCCCAACCACCTAGATGTGATGCAATGGTTAGCTGATAGCAATCTGCTTGAAATGATTGTGGATAAGCTTAGCCCATCAGTAAGTATAAGTTTTATAAGTGTGTATGTGTCCCTTTGTTTCGCCGTAGATGATTGAAATATAAGAAGCATGGGATTTTTTAGCTACTCCTGAATTCTTTTCCTTAATATTATTATAATAAAATGTGGGATCTGTTGGTTCTTCATGTGGCTGCTACTCCAGAAGTACTGAAAATCACATGTTTTAGCTTTATAAGACAATCGAGAATAGTGGGAGAGAATTTCGTGCGCTTGCATAACTCTGTTTAATATTATGTGAATATTCTGACAGTTTTGTCTTCATTTTCTCTTTGGATCAGAATTCTCTCGAAGTTCATGCAAACGCTGCTGAAACATTGTGCACTATCGCTCAAAATGCACCATCTCCTTTGGCTACCAAACTTTCTAGTTCAAGGTTTGTAGGATGTTTTGGCGCTTGAATATGCTGAAACATATTTCATTATTTGAGATGTCTTTTTGTTTGCAGTTTTGTTGCAAGGATATTTGGTCATGCTTTCGAAGATCCGCAGTCCAAATCTAGTCTTGTTCACACCCTTTCTGTGTGCATATCGTTGTTGAGCCCAAGAAGATCTGTAGTTTCTTCTCCCTTTATGTATTCATTCAGGGGCCAACAAATTTTCGAGTCTCCAATTTCTGTGAATCCGGAGACTATTGCCACCATGCTGCCTAGACTTGGTATGTGCTGTGCATGTGTGCATATTTGTTACTTGTTTTCCCTGCTGAATATTTTTCATCATAACATTTGTCTTAGTTCCTTGATTGATTGCTAGGATCTGATTTTATCTTTTTGGTTTATCCTAGCATCTGATAACTTCTCACAATGTTGGCAGTGAAAATAAATGTTTGCACAACAATGAAAATCCTCTAGTTTTGTTATTTGGTTGCTGTAATTTCCCGTTTCATTCCACTTTCTTAATTGTGGCTTCTGGGTATTTTTCTCCGGTCTTTCTAGCTGGACAGAGTTGAGCGCTCATTCTTGGTGAACATATATGTTAGAATTTGTATTTCCTTCTAAGGCTCTTATCTCTTGTACAGGTGACTTTGTTGCACTTTTAAACGTAACCTCTGATGAAAAGATTTTACCTACAACGTATGGGCAGTTGAGGCCTCCTCTAGGCAGTCATCGTCTGAAGGTCAGGTTTCATATTGAATTTTAGTTATTGTCATCTAGAGATGGTTTGATTAAATAAGATGGACCTGGTATCAGATCTTGGAATTACACATGTACATCTGTCTGTGTTGTCTGTTCTCTATATTCTTCTGATTTCGCTAGTGTTGCTGACGGCTTTTCTTAGATTGTGGAGTTCATTGCTGTCTTGTTGAAAACTCGAAGTGAAGCGACAGGACAAGAACTTGCCAGCTCAGGAGCTATTAGAAGAGTCCTTGATCTGTTCTTCGAGTAAATACTTCTTCCTGAATCGATGACCAAATTTTACTTTGTTCAGTCGTTACACATCTTTTATGTTTTCGTTGGCTAAATTCATTTCTCAATTGTTTATTCCAACTATGCAGGTACCCATATAATAATGCACTGCACCATCAGGTGGAGAGTATAATAGTATCGTGTTTGGAGAGCAAAAACGATGCGATTATTGACCATCTTCTCCGGGAGTGTGATTTGATTGGGAAAATTCTTAAAACAGAGAAACACCCCACTCTTTCTGGTGATAACCAGGTATGAAATGTGTCACTCATGCATATTGCTGTGCGAACTGTCTGATATATTCTGTAAATATGTTGAGCAAAGTTTGTCAGAGTATACAGAAAATTTTCCTAGTTCTGTGAGACAACATATGGAAGAACTTCTCACATCATTTCTGTGAGGCAAGATGTGGTACATCAGATTATGTGGTTTGCGAAGGAATTATAGTTATTCCCTTGTGATACAAAAATTGCCTGTTATATTCACTTTTCTAACATATAGTGTGGAGTTATAGATATAATTGATTTTGCTTTCGTGCAGCCAACAATTCCTGCTGCTGGAAAGCAGGCTCCACGGGTGGGAAATATTGGTCATATCTCAAGAATTTCAAACAAGGTTGTTCAGCTGTCAACTAACAGTAACCAGATAAAGACTTTACTTGAGGTTCGTTTTTCAGACACAGTAACAGTTTATTGCAATAATGATTGCAGATCGACTGTGGCAGACAGTATATAATCTTTCTACACATGACGACGATTTGAGTTGTTAAATAACTGTGCTAATTTGTGTTTTTGAAAAAATTTATTTGCTTGCATCTATTACACCACTCTCTTTTCTGTACTCGTGGGAGGTCACCTGTGTAAATTACTTGGATTCTTTCTGCAGAAAGTCAGAAATCCATCAACATGTGTCCATAATAAAATATCCCATTTATAATTAATTTTACCTACTATTATTTATAGGCATTGTCTTGCGTCAAATCCAGTGTACAAATAGTTGCATTTTGTTTGGTAGATACAACTTTTTGACTCATACTGTTTTCTTTTGCTAGGAGCATAACGAATGGGGCGAGTGGGAAGCTAATGTGTTGCATGACCGAAACGCAGTTGAGAATGTCTATCGCTGGGTTTGCGGGTATTTCTTCTCAAAGCTTTACAGCTTTTTGTTACACCTAATTATGCAATGATCAGTGGTACATTTAAGTTTGGTAGAATTTACTTAGGAGGTTGTCTGGGTTAAAACATAGAAATGCCATAGGAAACTTGGTCTAGATACCTTTAGGTCTTGAGGATAGATGGCACAGTATCTGACTGTGAAAGTCCTGATTTTTCTCTCTTGTTTTCACAATCATTTTACTTGTTTGGATGCAGCCGCCCCACTGCATTACTTGATAGGACTAGGGATAGTGACGATGACGAAGTTCATGACAGGGATTATGATCTTGCTGGTTTAGCTAATAACTTGAACCAGTTCAGATACAACATACAAGAGAACAATGGCTCTGGGGAGGTAGTTGTTATTATCTCTGATTTGTATTTCTTAAATTTTTTGTTGAATCTGAGTTCCATGTTTCTGGTTCCAGGAGCACGGTTCCAATGACAGAGATGAAGAGGTATTCATCATAGTTAATAATGTTCTAGGATTAAAGAAAACATTGTCTACTAGAGGCCCTGACTGTAACATATTTTGTAGGATGTCTACTTTGATGACGAAACTGCTGAAGTTGTTATATCATCTCTACGGCTTGGTGATGAGCAGGCTAAGTAAGCTTCGAAATCTGATTTAGACAACCCAAATATCTGATTTAACAAAAGAGAGGAAAAAAAAAAGCGTGGCTTCTAAAACTTATGAAATTGTTTTTTTTTTCTTTTTCTTGGTGCAGCAATTTATTCACAAACTCGAACTGGTTCACTTTCCAAGGAGATGAATTGGGTGAAAACACAGGAACAGGAGCAATTCCTTCAGAGGAAGCAATGGAAGATGTAAGCTTGAATGAAAATTCCGGTGGTGGAGATGAAGAAGACGAAGATTGTTTGATTACGGAAAGCAAGAACCCTTTTGTAGCCACAGCCTCAACCTCAGAAGCAGTCTCTGTAGACACCGTAACTGGAGATATCGAGATTGATGAAGATGTGGTTTCAGATGAACTATCACCTGAATGGGTTGAACGTGGAGATTCTTCTTCATCTGCTACACTGGTCACGGATCAGCTTCCTGGAGATGACGTAAAGATGCCTGATGTGAGAATCCCAAACGGTTCTTCATCCTCGGAAGGTGAGATTAGCCCGAGATCACCGCCTGTGCCTTCACTGTTTGGCAGCAGAGATGTTGAGTTTGTGGGTGTGGAGCCAGAAGGAACGGAGAGGGCAATGGATCAAGCTCTCAAGGAAGGCATAGTGGGAGAAGCAGGGCCAATGAAGAGGAACAGCGCCACAGCCTCACCGGGAAAGGAGAGTAGCTCTGATGATAATATGCAACAGGAGTACAATGACACTAACTACTGGAGGATCGATGAGGTGACTGTGGTCGAATGACGTGACACATCGTGGACTGAAGAATGATGTGGCACACCGTTGTCTGAAGGATTCCCGAGCAGGCAGGGAAGGGAAGGTACGTGTGTACAGTATTACTAAGTGA